ATTATATAATAATAATAATAATTTTTATTACTAATATTTTTGTAATAAAAATTATTTTTTAAACTATAAAGAATAAAAATGACACAAAACAAAATATTAACTTATAGTAGAACAATATACAATACAAATAAAAAGTTAGCTAAAAAAAAAGCCAAGAACTTTATCAACAAAAAAAGTTAGAATATTTTTAAGAATTAGAAAAAAAAGAAAGATTGGATCTTAGAATAGTTAAGAAACAGAGAGTAATTCTTCACTTTCACCAAAGTCAAAAAAATAAAAATATGAAAATTATGTAATATAATTAAATCTCTTTATAGTTATATTTATTTATAGTCATATTTTTTTAGTTATCTTATTTTATATTTTTATTTATATATTCAATTTTGCTTTTTTGAAAGTAATAATTATAAAAAAATTTGATTATAGTAATAATGAAAATTCTAAAAATTATGTGAATTATAGAAATTATAAAAATTTTTAATTATAATAATATATATCAATAAGATAATAAAATTATTATATTATATAATAAAAAGTTTCAATTTTATAATTAAATAATACATTTTTAAAAAAATTAAATCAATAATTTTATTTTTTAAAATAGATTCTATTAAATTACTAATCAATTTTCATAAACAATTTTATTAAAAAATTATAAATATTTAAACTTGATTATTTTTATATAATTAGTTCAAATTTGAAATAAATTACATAAATATTTATTATATAAATGTAATTTTATTGGTTGATATTTATTATAATTCAGATTAATATTATTTGATTGCTAAATTATTATAGTATTAGTCTAAATTATTATAATATAAATTATATATAATTAAAATATCATTATTTTATTGGATAATTACAAAAATATAATATTAGATTGCAATTAAAAAATTATTTTATTAATTAATTAAAGAAATTTAATTACTAAATTACTAATAATAACAAATTATATAATTGTTAAATTTAAATTTTTAATACTATATAATAATGCGATTTTCATCATAATTCATTAACACCATAATTCTTCACAATTAATAATAGTTAATATAATAAATTATAAAGTATAATAAAGTATAATAAAGTATAATAAATAATAAAGAAATTATAAAAATTATTATTAATAATTATTATTATCAATTTTAATTTTAAGCAATATTATTCATTAGCAATTTTTATAATATAATAGTTTTATATTAAATTTATTTTTAGAATCAACAATATATATAACATCTAAAGTCATCAAACATTTGTATTTTACAAAATGTATTTACTTCTTTGCCAAGAAGTAAATACAAAATTTAATCCGTGAATATGCTCAGAAAGGGGCTATTTTATCATATTCACGGTTTAAATTTTGTATTTACTTCTTAGTAAAGAAGTTTATCCATTTTATAAAATACAAACGTTTGTTGACTTTAGATGTTATGCACCATAGTTGTATTAATTGCATATTTCATGTTATTAGTTAACAATCATGTGAATTAATAGGAATTCCCATAGAGCTGATTTACAAGTTTTCGTAATTTTTTTAATTTATAAGAGAATTTTGCTTAGCGAAATGTTTTATCGCCTAATTCTTTGGGGGAGGGGGTCAGAGCGAATATCAGGTTATAATCCCCAATATTTTATGTCAGGTGGGAGAGGGGGAGGGAGATAAGCCTCCATTATAAATAATATATTAACATGCTAGAGAAATGATTTAAAATTTGAACAACCCGCGTGCTATCTTATTATATTCATTACAATGAAGACAAAATGTCGATCAAATGGGAATTTGAGATTATTGTTCAAAGACCAAGCCCAAAGAATTCCTCCTAACGCGGGTCCTATTCCATTTACGGTGCCAAGAACTTCTCGTGAAACAGTATTTGAAATCTATGTGTCGAATTAGAAATATTTCATTACACGCATGAATACATATAGAAGCATTTACCAATAATTAACAATATCTACATACCATTGAACCGGTTTAGGGGATGCGTTAAAGCGTTGTATCTTCAGGTAATCCATCCAATGATGATGCGAAAATTTCGTTGATCACCAATGAGAATGCACAAATTTTGATCAACCCGGAAAAACAAATCGACACAAGAAAATCAAAAAGGCGAATAATGTGAAAAATACGGAAAACGAATGGGTAAACCTGGCTTGAAAGATTAATTAAAAATGTCGGGAAGACAATTTTACATATAACCTTTAAACCAAGATTACTAATGTGAACTAAAATGAGAAGCGAATCCGTCTACCATCAAAAGCTTCCAAGATTAAGCAATTTATATTATTACCATTTTACATATTTATTTTCAAATTTAATAATAATAAAGCTTCTGCCAAAAATTGATATTCTTTTTTATAGAAACTCAAAAATGTTTAACGTCTTGGTTAGACATTCGCGTAAGCTGCATACTAAGGTAACATAAGATCATTATTAATTCTTCGTATATAATAAGTTGTGGTAATTGATAATAGTGTGTGGTTTTGTCTGTGTTAGTGTTTGGAATAATCGGATTATATAGCAATGCAAAGATAATTCAGGGTAATTGTCGCGAAATTGATCTAATCAACATTGTGCCGAGAAGAGAGAATCATAAGGATCATCCAACAAACACTGACGATTCGCTGGAATTTGATAAATTTTCAGTATAGCTTTAATTGAACATGATTCTTATTATTTTTCTGATTATTTGATCTATTGGAATCTACAGCGACAACAACTTTTTTTTATCTTTTCTTGACAAGCATTTATCAATTTATTTTTAATAGGTTTTCATATAGAATTAAGATATTCCTTCATGTGTTCAAATTTTCTTCGATCAATCTTTTTTATATAATAAGTTCAGCTTTCCACATATCAGCTATTTGTTATAACACTTGAACATTAATCAACCATTAATCTGCTTGAATTAGATTAGATATGGTATCAATAGTCATTTTCAAACATATTAAAGATTCTATTTTGCTAGCTTTAATTGGGCAAGAATTGCATCAGACCCACACGCAAAATCATTGTGGTCAACAAAGAACACAGCAAAGTACACCATTATTTCAAGCAGTTAGATCGTATTTCAAACATTAATTTCTCATGATGTTGTCTTATATATAACGTTTATTAATACATTTTAGTACATATGATAAGGACTAAAAAGTCAAAAATATTAAAGAGAAAATAGTAAAAGAATAAGAATAAAGATAAAAACGAGGATTAAACATGAAAGTTAATAGAACAAACCAGAAAATGAATAAAAGCCAGCACTAATTGGTTATGAACGATACGATTCTAAGAGTACAATCGAAAGGTTATTGTCATTTTGATTTGATGTCAGGTCATTAAAAATATTATTGCATCCATTTATAATATTAGAATGTACTGGTAGTGGTTGCAATGGTTGATTTTGTGGTAAGTTATGCTGCTGGTTTTGCTGTAAATTTTGTTGTTGATTTACTTGTTGCTGATTTTGTTGTTGATCCATACCTTTTAATGAAATTTTCAATTAAAAGATAGAAAAAGGGAAAATTATAGCTTGAAAGATATGTTTCTTTCCAGTAGTATCAATTCAAAGATAGAAAAAGGGAAAATTATAGCTTGGAAAATATATTTTCTTCCGGTAGTATCAATTTTGCTTAAACATTTGTATTTAAATATGTATTTATTTATGTCCTAGAAAAATTTCAAATATCTTAGTTTACCACTTGATTTACGGATTTATTACCATAACCAGTGTTGTTAATTTTTGCTTCCAGTGGATTTTTATAGCAACTGGAAGTCCATTGGAAGGTTCAATTTATATTAATTTCACTTCCAGTGGTCTTCCAATGACCTGCCGAGTAGCAACACTGACCATAACGGTAATACATGTACATGTCGATGTGCATTTTTTTTCCATAATAATGATAACACCTTTCGCTTTTCCCGTTCCTTTTTTCGTTTAAAAGTTGTGAAAACCTTGTCAAACCTTTTTATAGTAATGATGATTTTTCTGTGTCCAACTCTTTAAAACGGTTTTCTTTTTATAGTAATGATGATTGATAATAGGAATGAAATTAATACATGTACGTATTTATCAACAGATTAAATAAATATTTAAGATCGATAAACTTTACGTAATAACAATAAGTTAATTCATAAATATTTTGAAACAAAATTTATTGAATAATAAATATACTAATAACATTTTAAAAATACAGAAAATTATTTCCAGAAAAATTAGCCTGGAAATAGCCTACCGATTAAGGGACAATGAATTTATTTTATAACGGCCAAAACAAGCCGTTTGACTGTTTGTAGCAATGATGATCGATTTTTTGACTAATAATAAATATCTGGTGTTTCAATTTTAAATAAAACCATTCAAAACTTACCAGTCTTTACAGAAAACAATAACGAATATGAATTTCGCAGGATGAAATACTAGTTTTAAGAAAAAGTTAATTCATCCGAAAAAAGAATTTTTAAGTTAGGAGTAAAAAATCAACAGTTGATGTTAGCTGATAAATAGCATTTGATTTGTTGGTTGATTTTTTGATGTCGAATATTTAGAGCTTCAAACTTATTACAAAGTGAAATTAATTGACTATTGATTTTCTTATTTATTATCTAAACTTTATTATAAAGAGAATTAACTGTAGAATTCAATCTCAAAAGATAAATTATTTTTTGCTTCGCCTCTCGATTTTTTTCTTCCCAGTATATAGTTTTTATGGTATAAAATGGTATTAATAATTGTGGGAGGTTAATTTAAAACTAACAAATCTAACGTGATATTTGATACATTGATATTTATTTAATAAATAGAAGTTGCAGATAAAAGTATTTTAAATATGGCCATATTTTATATTAAATCAATCCATGGTACCGAAGAAATTCACGCGCATATAGTCTTCATTTAGCCTTAAATTATATGCACAAATAGCTTTGTTAAATGTTAGAGGGATACAAGTCAATATGCCCATTAATATGTTCGAAAATTAATGCCATGCTATTTCTGCTCGCCTTTATTGTTTGTATAAATGTTTAATATGCAATCTCTTTACGAAAAATATTCAAAAACTTTGGTTTATTTTTTAAAGCTTGTAAATTAATCATTTGGGTCCGAAATGTCACAAAATTTCACTATGTTATAAAGCATGGTTAATTATACCCAAAAGATCATTAATAAAAACTGACTTTTCATAGTACCATCCATATTTATTCAATTCTTTTTGGTAGTCAATAAGTGTCCTTATATATTTTTATCAGTCGATGTATACTCAATTATCTTTATATATAATAAGAAAATCAGTCAGAATTCGCTTAATGAATGATTAAAAGCATATTCAACGAGAATGGATTTTGCCAAAGCATATGGTATCGTTAAATTGCAATATACCAATCGCGTTCTGACTGTAGACAGTGTAAAACTTATTATAACGTGAATTTACCAAAAACCAAAAGTAAAATTTCAGCGATTAACAATTTGTATTTCACGTGAATATTCAATAAACGAAATTATAATCACAACTTTTACAACTTTCAACTTATAAGTAAAGTATTATTGTGCATGTCTGAATCCAGCTTTCTTAATGTGCTGTTAAAAAATAAATATAGAATAAAAAAGCAAAAAAGAATATTTTAAATGTGAAATTAATATATACTAATACGTCGTTTATATTTTATACTAATTAGATCTGCGACCATGGTCACAAACAAAAGAGATTGTTTTCTTGGAAATGTTGTAAATCTTCATGATACTATTTAAACTTTATCAACTGTACCTATTTTTTATCATAAGCACGTAAATGTTTCAAACGATTAATTTATTCATGTTGTCATAGAAATTAAAAGATTGAAGGAGCTTGAAGCACAATTTAATCTTTAATTAAATGACAAACTTAAAAACTAAAACAAAATTATTCTGAGAAGCCAATAGAATAACTAATCAAACGAAAGTAAAATATCATAAAGCGAATTTATATTAAATAGTACTTATTACAGTGCGGCTATAAGTATCCGAACGCCCAGCATTGCCCAAAATTATACTATAACGATCACCGGGCGTTCGGATACTTATGGCCATTACTGTATTTACCTATCGCTATTTGATATTCTAGTAATAAATTGTGGTGGCTGAAGCTGAAATATTGATTTATTAATTTCACTAATCTCATTGGTTCATTTCAGCTTCAGCTAGACTTCACGATCGTCCCCCATAATTGTAAACTTAAAAAAAAGTAGTTTTTTCTCGGAATATTATTTAGATTACTTATATGCATGCATTCTTAAAGTTTACGTAATATTCACACATTCCCTGCTCACATTTGAAATTATCATAATAGTATTCAATCTTGCTTTTAATATAAACGAGATACACCCATACAATAAATTACCGGAAATCCAAATAGATTTCTAGTTTTATTTTGATATAATATTTATTAAAAGAAATAAAATCTTCATTATAGAGAAAATTTCAATTTTTTTTGGATTTCCGGTAATTTATTGTAGGGGCGTGTATATTATATAAAAATAATTTATTACTACAGTACTTATACAATACGACTTGGAAGAAAATTACAAAATTTTATTTTTAGTTCCAAGTCAGATTTGCAAAAATGACATCTAATACAACTGCAAGTTCTAGTATTGATACTAACTTAACTAATACATGTATAACAAAAAAGTGGAAGTCCTGAAGCTTCAAAATATGCATAAAATACCCTTTGTGAGTTGTCATAATAAAATCATGCATATATTGAATTAAAATATAGAGTCGTAGAATTAAATTACATTTAGCTACTGAATGTGATAAAGTTTCACAATGAAATATCTTGAATAGTACAATTTTATCAAATTCCAAGAAAAGATAATCTATGATTCAATAGTTAATTATTATGATTTATAATGGGAAAGGGAATATCCGACAAAATGATACTACATGTATACTGTGACGATTCAATACAATTCATTATGATTTTTGTGTTGCCTATTGCTACTACGCTGTAATGATTACACATCCTGCACCATAACAATTACAGATTACATGATTAAGGAATGTCGTCTTTATTAAAAAACGGCGAACAATTCCGGCAAAAGGAATTGGCCGAACTTTCGGCGACAACTATATTCCGATATCTATTTTTAACTGTCATTATGATTTGGGTGTTGCCTATTACTATTACGCTGTAATGATTACACATCCTGCACCATAACAATTACAGATTACATGATTAAGGAATGTCGTCTTTATTAAAAAACGGCGAACAATTCGGCAAAAAGAATTAGCCGAATTTTCGGCGACAATTATATCTATGTTTAACTGTCATTGTGGCTTGTCCTATGATGCGGGAAAGTGAAAATTAAATTAGACTAATTTTAATATTCTCTGAGCTCATTTATAATTTTCTATATTTGTGTTCGTTTTAGGAAATAAATAGAATTCTAGAAGCGAGGAAACAATAAACTCAAAAAGGCGGGTCCCATTTAAGTCTAAAATAAGTAATCCGAGCTTTGAATATTATACGGAGAAAATCTTCTGTGGAATGTTTCATAACATCATATAAAAATAGAATTCTTTTCACATTTTTCACAATGAAACACAACGCAACAATGTTTTCTTTATTATTACAAACTCACTTACAATTTAAAATATTTTTCTGGGCTCAAAGAATAGAGTTTTAGTTGACTTCGATGCACATAGATATATTAGTATAATCACTATAACTTCTATTGGAAGACTGATTTTTCAATTACTCCGTCGTGTGTGTATTCAAAAATCTAAAAAATGAATAAATACGCTTATGGAAAGTCGATTTTTTTACTTACCCTAACCCAAACGATAAAAGCAATCTTTAATAATTGTCGGCACACATATTATTTGCGAACTGAACAGAGATTATAATTACACTCAATACATGAATGGTCGTTGCTCATTGTGTTTTGCCCAAATTTGGTAAGAATGTGAAACGTATGTATTGCGTAAATGGTTGAAAATTTTCTCATTGTGTTTTACCCAAATCGGGTAAATTATGTAAATGATGTACATGTATATCCAAGTAAAAGCACATAATGACTATGGAGAAGAATGTTATTTAAAGGAAGTTTTATACGACCATGACATCAATCTTTTTAATAGAAACATGGATAAATTACTAGACGAGATATGAATAAATATGTTAAATATCCTATTTAATTTGGGCAAGAATTAAAAACATCGTGGTTAATAACACAATGTGGCAAAGCACACGCATTATTTCAAACTTTAATTTCTCATGAAGAACTAACGCTAATAAGTCAAGAAATTGTGCACAACGTCGATAATGATATGTTACTCTGTGTTTTAGTGGATCGAACATGGCTTCTAAAGGACTTCTATCTGCGAAACTCTACATCATAAGTCAAGCGCCGGATAAAGAAGCAAAATATTGCAAAGATCGAATAACTTATACGCATATATTATTTCATACTACTATATAAAAGACACCGGGTTTGTTACATTCCACAGTTCAGAAACCTGTATTATATTCAGGGTCTAATACGAATATCGAGATTTTGCAATACAGGGGTCTACTATCTCATATATGGCCATTTACGGTATCTCCAACAAGTTCAAAACCGAAATTGACTGATTTTGGTGAGATAACCATGAAGAGAGAGTAAGATAATTTAGTGTAATTGTGCGTGCAATATGTTGAGATTTGTAAAGATGAGAATTAGCAAATTTGCTTCAAACTTTCAGGTTCAGTAAGCATTATTCATTCAAACAGCGACTTACCGATGTTGGTGATTAATCAACGGGTTAATAAAACAATACCTTATTGAATTAACGGAACCAGAAAGAATCTTAAAAATAATATTTTTACTCAAATCATTGAAGCCACAAGAATTCTTGGATGCGTTCATGAATGCATTAATTTAGCATAATATTGGTCAAACCTCAAATGTTTGTGCTAACACTTCAGAGCACTATGTCGGTTTCCAATTTAAAGAATTATCAAAAAGACAGGACCTTCGTTTAATTCAAATTCGTGACATCATCGTCCTCATGACATACTGTTGCTTTCCCTTCGGTATTTAGTCAGAAGAACGTATTTCGTGACGGATGAGGTGGGGCACCAGACTGTTGTGTTTATTACAACAATCAATCGAGCAAGGGTTTTTCCGCAACGGGGGTGAGAGCTAGATCGAATTAGTTACGGTTAAAGGGTCTCTTTGATCGTTCTAAAGGCTTCCCGTGGTGACTTGTACGTAAATCGACCTTTTCTCAACGATGGGGTGAAGTGTTTGAAAAAGGAAACCGAATAGAATTACTCTTGTGACAGAAATCAAATCGTTATAATAAAATCTTGTTTACTCAATAATGATCAATGTATTCACAAACGTGACAGAACATATTGACACGGCCCATCCAAGAAAAACAAAGTTAATTCGACAGGACTTATTGATACGGCCTGTTCTAGAAAACAAAATCAAATCAAAGAAAAATAATGGCTTATTTTAAGTGGAGGAGCGTCAACTGAAGTTTAATCAGAATAATAGTGTATTCACAAGTAATATTATTACTACAAGCAAGAACTTTGGTATTTTATTAGATTAAAACATGTCTTCTCAGAGACTCAAAGACGCTTCTATATACAATTTTGAATTACTACGCTAATCCTAAGGTTAGCGTTAGTAATTTACATTGATGGTTTCTTTTAAAACGATCAAGCATTAATTGTTCAATGTCTTTCAATTATCCAGACAATTGACGTCCTTTTTGATAGTCACTATCGTTACGTGCATCAATAACCATTCGATGTTCCTCAATTGTCCAGACAATTGTCGGGATAATTATCGTCCTCTTGATAATCAATATCGTTACGTGTATTAATATTGAAGAACTATGAGATGTTCATACATGTACAAGAAAAAAAAAAGGTAACGGTAATGTTCATTCATAACGAAATATTTCTAAACTTGGCTTTCAATGTGAATTACACGAGACTAATTATGGAAGGATTATCGTGTAGGTCGTTAGGGAAAGATATTTATGTGAAAACTAACGCTAAGGGTCAAATCAAAATTTTGGAATCGAAGGATTTAATGTCACTTCGGTAACAATACTTAAATTATCGCCGATTGTAACGTTTGGCTCAGAATTTGTATTGCAAAAATTTATTATCCAAAATTCGAAAGTCTTCGAAGGATGGTATGAAGGAGTTGTTGATAAGGTATTTACAAAGTAAAATTTTGTAATTGAAAATTATAATAAAATTCAGAAAAGTACTTGAATGAAATTGAAACGTTCAAATTAGGAGATAATGTAATAGAATCGATTTAAATTATTCAATCTTTCGAATTGTGCTTTCGTAATTTAACAGACATCCAAAAGCAGAAAATTAGTTTATACTCCAAAATGAAATTAAAAACTTTCTGTGACCAATCAGATTAGATAGCGATACCTAATAATTTAAGGAGTTGGTCAAATATAGTCGTGGAGTTTTAGATGGTGGTGTTTAACTAATATAAATTGTGGTTATTTTCTTGGCAAAAAGATTGAAATAAATTAAAACATATAAATAATTTTTGGTTTAAATTATTATTTGAGTTGCACGACTTTATTTATATAGTATGTTAATAATATCTTGGCAGAATTTTAACAAAAAATCCCACTCACTTTCAATTTATAAATAATAATGTAATTTTAATTTAAGAGAAAGAATATTATTTATAGTCCTACAAAACTTTTAGCGACCTGCTTCGAAAATTCTTACTGCTGCGTTGATCTAAATTAGCTTTATAAAACTATTTATGTATTTCTGTTAAATGATATGCTAATCGATATGTTAATCGAACGTATAAGATTGTCTCCGAAACCTTTCGGAATTCTCCCCCGAAAGATTTGAGGCAATCCCGTAACACTTACATCATAGGGAATACTATTACAAATTGTAAACAGCGACAAAATATTTCAACATGTTAAATTTCAAGGGGCACGACATTAATGCTTGGTATTTTTTTACTCGATGTCTTTACTATGAGACAATTATATCAAAAATATCTTTTGTTGTACCAGCACAACATAAATAAATAAACATTTGACTCACTTGATTCTTATCGAAATATATATAAACAACCAAAGAATCATTTAAAAGGTCATAAAATGAATCAACAAAATCAACAACAAAACCAGCAAAACCAGCCGCAAAACCAACCAAACCAACCGCAAAATCAACAAAACCAACTATTGCAGCAGCAGCAAGCCCAAATAATAAATGGCTCTTTCAATATTTACGATGAACCACGTACGCATCTTGAAAATGATGTCTTGACCATACTCTCAGAATCATATCGTATCTAAATTTACTTTTGCACATAACCTTCGTTATTTAAAATCAATAAAATAGTTTCAAGGGTTTAAAATTTCGACGAATTGGACGCTTAGACGAGTTTTATTATTAGTATTCAAGATCTCGTTTTTTTAATGGATGAATTTTTGACAGGGTTTTGTTTTCAACATTGCTCTTTTAACACACTTCATTTTTAAATATTTGTATCCACTCTTTCAAAATATGGCTTTTTAGACATGATATCTGACGCTAATTATTAAGTCTAAATTTACACGCACATTATTATTCAAACATTTAAATATTTAATCTCTATTCAAACTTTTAATCTTTATCTAGTTCAAATATTAATAGTGTATTTATGTTCAATTCATTCGCTTTATTATGTTTTATTGCAAGTTTCTCAAACATTTAGATGTAATTATTTTAATCTTAATTAATTTCTTCTTACTCCCCTTATGAAATCTTTTTAATTTGGCTCTACTTTTAAAGGATTTCCTTCCTTCTGCTATTAAATTTTTTAATAACTATTGTTTGTAGGCATATCTTTTTGTCTTTTGATCAGCATTATACTGTTATACTTAACACATCAGTATTAACGTTAAAGTTTAAAATCTTACACATGCAAGTAAATCTGTACTTTTTTTTATCGATGATCTGTTTACCAAATTAATTTTAAAGTTCTTGTTTGAACACAATAGAATTACGTACTGTATAGAAAATCTATTACCGAAATAATATCGATATTGAAAATCTTGTACGTATTAACGTTAACTCCGATATTATACTGGACACATAATTATCATGGCATTTATTACTATATTGCGTAATTTTCAATTCTATTTGAATTATTTTTTACGGATCATCTATAATAATGCTTTACTCCTTAAAAGACAATCAATAATAGATATTCCATGCACATTTATGAAAACATAAGTTCATGTGGATAAGAAACAGGTTGTAGCAATTTATACAAGCATCGTTTCAATTTCACAAAGTAAACGTAATAGTGTGTAAAATTATTCTTAGTGATAGATATTAGCTAATATTCTGTAATATAATATCACGTGCTTGCGTTAAGTGAAATCTCAGAAAGGGAGAGATAAATTGGATATTAGCTAATATTTTTAGTATCTACTTGATATTTAGAGCCAGACCAATAGTGAAAAGAAAATTATACAGTGAGAGACACCAAAAGCCATCCAATCAAATGGGATATTTAGATGGTTATATCTCATAATCTATACATGAAACAAAAAATCCTCTTTATACAAATTGTGGTCATTTAATCCAACTACAATTTGTATAAAGAGGATTTTTTGTTTCATGTATAGATTATGAGATATAACTATTTAAATATCCCATTTGATTGGATGGCTTTTGGTGCCCCTCATTGTAGTAACATTAATACAAAATATTAAATATTAATGCAAAGAAATGAGTATTATTATTCATTCAAAAAATACATGCTGAATTTATTTATAAGTTATCTTCTATATTCAAATATTTGATCTAATATTATGAATAAAAAGATACCAGTGATAATAGAAATAATAAAAATTATGGAAATAATATATAACAAGAGTAATATATAACAAAAGATAAATATAAAGAATCAATCAAATAAAAAATTTAACAAGAATATACTGTCATTCTCTCATATAATTATATACTTGATTACTTATTAAAATTATAATTGTTGGAATTATGATATATAAAAGTTTTGAATTGTTAGTAGTTTAAAATATAAATAATTTTATTTGAATATGAATATATAATCTTCATTAATTTCATTAAATATTTAACTTTAAAAAATTAGTAATATTAAATTCCAATACCTTTCTTATTTATGTTCCTTACCAAATTTTTCCTATAAATTTGATCATTGTATTAATAATCTGATCAAGTTACTTGAAAAACTATCTAGAACTAATAAAATTTTGAGTTATTTACAGTTTTATATTTTCATTTTGCTTTGACTTATAAAAAATGACTGATATTTTATACAAGATAAATATATGACAATATATTTATATTTATCCAAAATTTATTCAATGCAAAATGATATAATATAAAATATATTAAAAATATATAGATAATTAAATTTATAAAAAGTATTTGACTTCAACGAGCTTCTAATTGTGTGGAATAAAAACAAAATAATTTTGAAATCTGACAATTTGATTAGCCAGATTGTTTATTGTTGATCAACTTTTCCTAATATTTGAAAGCACACTAAATTATTAATTTTTTTTATATTTATTATAAATTCAAATTCTCAATTTTTTTTCTTCAAAGAGTAACATGTTGATACTTACATTTTTCTTACAAAAAATGCTGACAAAAAAATAGGTACTGTACTTATATAATTAACTTTACTATTACACTATAAAAAAATAAAAGAACATAATCAGAAAAGATCCAGTTTTTTAGTTTTGGAAAATTATTAGTTTTATTAACAAATTTCCAAATTAAAATCTAATAAAAATTTAATTAAAAATCTGATAATTTTGGAATGTGATATCTTGTAATTCACTGCTCATTCAATTCATCTAGTCTTGATGAATTGAATAGTAATATTTTTGTCTGAATTGGATCAGTGAATTGTAAAATATCATGTTTTAAATATACTGGATTAATTTTTTTAATTTTTTTGTTCAAATTAAAATAAATGCATTATTTTTAAATATACTATTAATAAATTTATCTAGTTTTGGTAAATTCAATAATAGTACTTTTACAAAATAGTTTGGTAATTTATAAGATATCATATTTCAAAGTTGCTAAATTAATTTTGATTTTTTGAAAAAAACTTATTTTAATTTGAAATATTTAATTTGAAGAATAATATATCATGATCTATCAGGCTAAATTTCATCAAATTTAATCAATATTCCATTAAATCTCAGTAAATATGTGACTTTATTTTTATCCAATTTAATTAAGTGAATGATAAAATATTAATTCATTTTTAACGAAAGGAGAAAATAAAAAAATATGTCTGATAATTTTGGAATGTGATATTTTGTAATTCATTAATCCAAGTCTAAATAAATCAAATAATAATATATTTGTTCAAATTGAATCAATGAATTATAAGATATTATATTTCAAAGTTACTGGACATATTTTTTTATTTTTCACATTTTTTTCATTTTTAATCAGATTTTAATTCAGAAATTTGTTAACAAAACTTGTAATTTTTTGAAACTAAAAAACTGGATCTTTTTCTGATTATTTTTTTATTTTTTTATTGGATCAGTAACTAAAAAAAAGTTTTTGCTTGACCTGTTGGAACAAAAATTATATATATTTATTATCTATTTATTTGAAAATGTTTGATATACTATTTGCAATATTTACTTTCTTCTTACATATTTCTTATCTATATTGAAAGATGTTTCGAGTGAGTTTACTGATCTCATTTTGTCTGCTGTGACAACATCATGTCAAAGATGTTCTTATTAATGCTATATTGAAAAATTCACAGTTTTTGTCATAATAACAAGATGTTAAATTAACTAATTTACTAACTTTATTATTTATCTATTTTTCTCTTAGGCTCACAAAGCAGGATTATTATTCTATTTCTTATTTTTTTGGCTTGTAAGAAAGGTGAATGTTCTAAATTAGTAGGTTTTCCTTGAAATCTTGTAGCAGAATGTATTATCCCTTTCTTCAAAGATTCAACATTTCTCATGTAGTAAAACTATCAAAATAAATAAAATACTGGTAATAATTATCACTTCAGAATTACTTTTGCATAGTTTTTATATTGTTAACTTATATTCTTCTGTATATCATAGCTTATCGAAAGTGAAAGTGTCAATCTCAAGTTTTGCATCTGCAATGAACTGTGAAAAAGTCTTTGCAATCGATATCAAAAGTATAAAAGATCGAAGAAGTCATCATATTCCCGTTTGCTATGGTAGGCACATGTGAATTATGAATTCTTGTCACTTTAAGCACCAAATATTTTAATAGTCTTCAATTTTAGGCAAAGCTTGTATTAAAGAATCTTAAATTTCAAGTCTTGCTGCTGAAATTTGGATGAATATTTTAAATACTCTTTCTTGACTTCATTGCAATAAATGTTACGTATGGTAATGGATACCAAGTTAGCGACAGAGATGAAAGACTTGGATGGAAGACATTTTTGGTGATGCGTATTTTGTATTTCGCTTTTTTTTACGAGGATAAGAGTTCAAATTTTTCTACAATGTTGTGTCAGATGTAGTGCTCCAATCGGGTCAGTCTAAAAATCGTTATTTCTCGTTCAGTATTAATTCAATTAAACGAAAATTTGTGAATATATACACAATTACATTCCGAACAACTCTATTTAAGACACAAATGCAAGTGTCTTAGTAAAAATAAAAGTTATTAACGAAAAACTATTTTACGATTTTCGGATCAAACCCGACCCAAACCGAATTTATTGGTTCGGGTTGACCTCAAACTCGACCCGAACAGAGCTTTGGTCAGATGACATTAGATGGTTATTTCTTCCCGCAGTTTTGGAAGTCTGTAAAACAAAGACGCCTTTGATTGCGAAACAGTTTGGTTTGTTGTGTTTCTGATTAAAGCATTTTGTGTGCCTTTGTCGTTCCAGTTCATTTACACGCATGTCTCCACCCAGCTTAAAAATACTCACGGATATCATTCTTTATATAGATAAGTTAAACCAGCTCTCTTTATCTGTTGAGGAATGAGTAGATGATTGAAATTGGGTCGAGCCTGGGCTTTTCGGAGCAATGTGTATGCCAATCTCATTTTCAACCGGTTCCTCGGTAACATTAGCGGACAGGTCCGTGCTCTACTTAACTCTGTTAAGATGACAGATCTATTGAGAGCATTAATTTGATCAGATTGATTAAAGAGAATTTTTGGGTCTGCAACATAATCAGTACAATTTGCAGCTTTTACACACAATGTTTTCACGGGCAATATTGCAAACATCTGTTAGAGAACGATTTATTATCAGGTTTATTGTCACATATCACTTACAAATGCCTTTCATATCTTTGGCTTTACTTTATAATTTGATAAGTAACTACGCAGGCCCTATTCAATTCTGGATAAAATTCATCGTCCCAAACCAACATCTATACCGGAAGAGCTGGGAACGTTTCGCTTTACGTAATCGATTGAATTAAAAATATGTGATTGAGATTTCTACCATAAATTTGAAGTTGAATGCAATATATCTAAAAGTGTATTATAAAGTAGCAGTTCATATGACTTATTGAAATATTCAAAATGTTTCTTTACAAAAAATTCAATGTCAAACATTCATGTCTAATTTGAAAAAATTGTAAAATATGATATGGTGCATAAAATCTAAAGTCATCAAACGTTTGTTTTTATAAAATTTATAAACTTCTTTACTAAGAAGTAAATACAAAATTTAATCCGTGAATATGCTCAGAAAAGGCCGATTCTATCATATTCACGGATTAAATTTTGTATTTACTTCTTAGTAAAGAAGTTTATACATTTTATAAAATACAATCGTTTGATGACTTTAGCTTTTATGCACCATATAAAGAATATACAGTATATTTAAGCAAAACAATATTTTCTGGCCAATAACTAAATATAAAAGAAACAAAAGAATAAGCCGTTTATCTTATTGTCAAATTGCATTTTGGCATCCTTTGGGACGCGTAAAATAAAAAAGATGATATTTCTAAAGGTATAATAATATCAAAATCAAAAATACACATAACAAAAATCTGAAATTGTCGAGATTCCAATAGAATAATAAATTAATGAATAAAATAAATATATAGTAAAAGTCACCAAAGTTATCTTTAAAAATCGTAAGCTTTTCATTTATAAATTCGAAAAGCTTTTTCCGTTTTGAAAAGTAAAGTCATAAGTTGCAACATATATTAATCTCATATCTTCTTATGACCACAAATTCGATATTGGTTATAACAACTAGTAGTTTTTTCCGCCTCAATAGAGAACGTTTCTACAAGAGCGTCATAATGTTCGGGCATTATATTCATATTAGCTGATAAAAAGATTCTGCAAGAGCTGAGACCTGCAGTACAAAATTTTAAAGTCTTTGCGTGCAAGCAAATAGATTGATTTTAGATAAAGCATTGTATCTTTGCAAATAAATTCGTTCATTTCATATTTACCTCTTCCCCAGACTTACCACCTTTCTTGCCTAAAATTATAGTTTTTTTTTTATTTTTAATTTCCGAAAACGCGTTTGTATTTTCAAGAAGGCACGGAATCTCTTCCCCAATTCTACAGTTCATTCCCTTCGACGTAAAGAAATTCTGGACTAAAAAGTCAAAATTAAATAAATCTGTTATTCTAATTAGAGACACAAAAAAAGAAAGTTTCTCTTACGTGCTTTTGAAATTCTATTTGTAGCGTTTCCATCAGATATAAAATTATCACTTTCTAACATCTCAACCCATCCATTTGGTCGAGTTAACCTTGTCATTTCCGGTATAACTTTCTCTTCCCATTGTGCTTCCGTAAAAGCACCAGCCATGAATTTTTGGTGAATGAAATCGAAAGACGCATCTTCATATGGTAATCCATCTAACACATTATACTCGATAAACTCCACATTTAAAGGAAATTCTGTTGGAAAAATTGGAGATATGTCTATTCCCACAAACATTGAATTTGGATATTGTTTTGCCATATCCTATTTTTACGAATTAATATATTGATACAAAATACGTATCCATTTCTAATAAGAAAATAAAAATATGTTTACCAAAATCCAAGCTCCAGCTCCACATCTTTTTATTATTTTTTTATATTAAAAAACATGACAGGCATTTAAAATTCGGTTTTTTATAATTAATATAACCTAAATACATACCCAAAATCAATAACACGCGCTCCTTGTCTCAACTTCTCTTCAACAGGCGAATGAAACAATCCTCCCCAAATATCTTTTATTGCTAAAAGTTACATAATATTATATTACTATTATAGATCTTTTCTATAACGATAAAAGAAACTCGATATTAAAAATACCATCATGATATCTAATTAAACGATCAGCTTCTTCGTCATCATTCGGAATAAAATATTCTGAATTCGAAATATTATGAAACCGTCTACCGCCGATAATGCGGAACCTCATGTTTCTATTTTCCTCTTCAATAAAGCGTCTAGAACAACAGCAACCCATTTTTTACAAATATCACAAGCTTTTTATAAAATACTGCATTAAGTTTCTAAAAAAGTATGTATCGCAAACTTTTTATAAAACTTACTGTGTGTTGCTCTCTTGAATCTGATTGGCTAATAATCTAATCATAAACTGTCACAGTTACAGTGCGAATTTATTTATCGTACAAGTACGATGATTTCTGCATTGTACACGAAATAATTACAGCATAAACCAACGATATCTTAAATTACATGTATACGTAACTAGTCATTCAATTAAAAGGTTTAGCAATTTAAAGTTGAGAAGGGGGGTGTAGGTCTATGTTGTGCCGCAAATGGAAAATGCAGTAATTATTGGTGCAAATGAGCAGCTAATAGTTTGGTGCTTATCCAGTTCCTAAATATACAGAATTATTGCACATTTTCCAGAAATTGCACTAATTTCTTACTAATTTTTTCATAGGGTCAATGCCGTGCGTGAATATCATCGGCGAGTTGTCTAGTGGCACGCAAGGTGTATCACATGGCGCCAAAGATACGCGAAAATTGCCGATCCGGCGAAAACAAATGGAAAAATAGACGAAACGTCGATCAGATACATCCATAAACAAAAAAATTATTCATTAGCGTTGATAAATGAAACATAGTTCATATAGATTGTCAAATACCATACTTTATTTTTGAGATTAGTTGCGACTAAGGATGCTTGCCGAAATCCCTTGGTAGCCGCCGAAACTCTGCAGAAATTATAATAAACTATAGGACGCCGAATTTTGAAACCCGTCGTAACCGAAGTTCCGCCAAAACTCTAATTAACAATTAGTGTGTCTGGTGCATAAAATCTAAAGTCATCAAACGTTTGTATTTTATAAACTGTATAAACTTCTTTACTAAGAAGTAAATAAAAAATTTAATCCGTGAATAGGATAGAATAGACCTTTTCTGGGCATATTCACGGATTAAATTTTGTATTTACTTCTTAGTAAAGACGTTTATACAGTTTATAAAATACAAACGTTTGATGACTTTAGATTTTATGCACCATAACCTGCCGAAACTCTGCCGAAATATTTGTGGAGGGGTTTCGGCAGGCATCCTTAGTTGCGACTTCGATAGCTTTATTTATATGATACAGTTTTATATTGAATTGGTAAACAGTTTTTATGGATAATTCGATACAATAAAATCATTCAATTATGTACGATTTCACCATGCGAGGTAAACGGGATAAGCACCCACAAACTTCATTGCTTTTATAGCGTTCGAGGTGCTGTGCCTCGCCTACTCACCGAAAGATTAGGAATCTGCTAAGATAATCCTGTCTATTTATATACAATTTTTATTAGTATTTTAATATTTTTTATAAAATTAAGACATTTTTAAAATGCATTAAATTTACAAAAAAAGAAATTATAAAAGAAAGAAAGTAGGTATAAAAATTTATAAATTTAGTGAATACTGTCTTATTTTCCGTGCATTTATAATCTTTTTCAATTATATATTTTTTAGGATTGTCTTTTATTTTTATTTAATTTATTGCATGATTAATGTAGATATATCTATATTTTTTATGATGATAATTTATAAATTTAAGAGTATTATTTAAAGTATTAACACAAATTAGTATTATACTATATTTTTATAATATATTATGGCTGGTGCAAAAATGTAGATACACCACTTTGCTATTCATAAAAAAATTTGTTTATTTAATTTTTAATTTTTTTATCTAGATTATAATTAATATATTTATATAATTTTTTTATTATATATAAACAAAAATAAAAAATTTTATTAATTAACAATGTTTTAAATTATTGTGATTTTTTATATAGTAAAAAATCAAATTTTAGGTCTTGAAACTTAATTTCTCAACAACTAGTGATTTAATTTTGCTAAAATTTAATATATATATATTTCATACAGTGATAATCAAAGATAATACAATAATATTGAAATTTATTAATTAAATATAGTAAACTATAAGTTTTTTTCTTTATATAAAGTTTTCAATTTTATTTTATTTTTACATTTAAATGAAAATAATATCACATATTTTAATATATATTTTTTTTAAATTTTTTAGATTTAATCTAATCAAACTATTTTAATTACATATAAATTCAATTACTTTTATATATTTTAATTATAAAAAAATAATTAACTTTAGATATAATTAGAACAATTTGATCAGATTAAATTTAAAAATTTGAAAAAAAGTATATGTTAAAATATATAATATTATTTTTGTTTAAATATAAATATAAAAAATATTTATTAATATAATTAGTACAGATATAATAATATAATAATGAATATATTTTTTGCTTATAACTTAATTAAAAAATTTCAAAAGTCATAAAAATTTATAGATAAATTTTTTAAAATATTGGAAAAAAGATTTATTAATATTATAAAGCACATTAATATAATGATATTTTGTGGAATTTTATATCAAATATGTTAAATTGTAAATTTTAACTATTAATAAAAATAAAAAATTATTTAAAAAACTATTTTTAATTCATTTTTATTTAATAAATCTCATTCAAAAAAGACTTTATTCTAATAAATTTTTTAAATAATATAAAATAAATTATAAGTAAAAACAATATTAAAAATAAATAAAAATAATAATAAAAATAAAAATAAAATAAAAAATAAAATTAATATAAATATTATTAAATAAATAATAAATATAAGAAATTCAAATTAAAAATATTCTTGTTGAAAATAAAATATAAAATATAAATATATAAATACAAAAAAATAAAAAGCAAAAATAAAAATAAAAAGTAAAATATATATAAATATAATTTGTTGATAATTATTTAATACTAAATTTGATCATATAATAGAATACAGGATAAAAATAAAAAATCAAATTAATATAAATATTATTGAATAAAATTATAAAATTATGAATTATAAAATTTTTATTAATAATAATAATATTTGTATTATAATAATTTTAATTTGTTTTATATACAAAAAATGAAGTGCTTAATTTTAGAAGTATACAATATATTAAAAATACTTAATAATTCTTTAATTATTTAATAGATTTATATTTAATATAATATAATTATATAAAAATAGAAATTAATTTTTCTTGAATTAATTAATTTTGTAAAATTAATTAAAATTTAAAAATTATTAAAAATTAATTGAAATTTAATTGAATTTTATTAATAATTTTTATATTTCAATAAGAAAAATAAAAAATATTTGTAATTTTAATTTAATAATAATTAAAAAAGTAATTTTTTATATCTTCTAAATAAATATTTTATTTCTCAAAAAAATTCCAAGAAAATTTTTAATTGAAAAGTAATTAAATATTATAATAAGTTATTTCAACTTGAAAATAATAATATTAATTATAGTTCTAAACTAAAGTATTTATTAATTGAAATAAGTATTATAATATTTAAAAATATTTGTACAATAATTAGAAAAGCAATTTTTTATATTTTTAGAATAAATATTTTATATTTTATTTTTTATTAATAATCAAAAAATTTCCAAGAAAATTTCTAATTAAAAAGTAGCAAAATGTTATAATAAGTTATTTTAACTTAAAAATAATAATATCAGTAATATTAACCTATTACTTATATTATCTTTCAAATACTTTGTAAAAAATTACTATTTATTAATTTTTATATATATCACAAATATATATAATATAATCCTAAACTAAAATATTCATTAATTAAGATAAGTAATATACCATAAAAAAAAATATAAAATAAGCTTTACTTAATATTATATATAAATTTTTTGTAACTAATATTATATTTCTTTTAGAAAATATATCAAAAACACAAATATAATGTGTGGAATCTCAATAAGCATCATTGAAGATAAGAGATTTAATGAAAATTATTGAAAATAAGAGACTTAATGAAAGAAGAAATAGATTAGAAATTAAAGATAATAAAAATAATAATTATATAAGTGATAATGCTATTCAACAAGAAAATAAAGAAGCATATAATTTTATACAGTAAATAACTTATTTATAGAGAGTAATGAAGAAGAAAATATTGATCAATTAGCTGAGGATTATTAGAAATATATTATAATTAATAATAAAGTAATATATTTATTGTAGCAGATTAAAATAAAATCAGTAAATAAAACAGAGTGAGATGTTTAAATAATTATAGATTAATATATTACAAATTTTAATGCTATACCCTATGCTCTAATCTAATTCTAACCCTTCTCTGAAATTTTTATCCATAAAAAAAGAGCAAATTTTATTTTGATTTGAGTTTATTACAATCTGATTTCATTTTAATCTGTCATATTTATTAAATGGATTTTCATTTTAATAATAAAGAATATTTTGAATTTAATAATAAAAATTATTAAATAATGATATTTATTAATATTTACAGATATTTAATGAAATAAGTTATTGTTTAATGATTTAATGATCTATATTATTAAACAATGATGTTTAACAATTTTAATAATTTAGTTGTATCGATATATCCATATATATCAAATATCTGAATTGATATACGTACATCAACAACGCCGATATATATCGCCCCCAAAAATTTCCTGATGCATAGATTGATACTCTTCAAAGCAATTAAATCTTCACGGAATTCACATCAGAGTATCTTTTCAGTTTATCCAATCATAATATGTCCTTAAATTCAAAGTCTGCAAGTTGAGATTCTGTGTTTTTGCGTTTCATTATTTGCTGTTTTCATAGGGAAGATGAAACACGTGAACGGATATTATTATTCTCAGCACCCGGATTTGCATCCTTGGATTGTTGCAATGCTTCGTTCACCACTGAAATTATGAGAGGATTGCGGGAATTAGGATCGTCATTTGCTTGCCGAGCTATATATGTATAAGACTTAAGTACCGGGGGAGATATCGATTTGGATGAAAGAGTTTCTGAAATATGAAGCTCTACTGGTGCCTCCTTTGGTCAGCGTATAAACCAGTGGTATCATAGGTGGAAAGTACACAATATTGAAGTTTACTGCCCGTAAACTTGACAAATTACGGTCTTTGCTTTACGATTTTTTGTAAAAATTTGTAAATGTCTGTTGGTTATTGATTTTCGATTACCAGTATCAAGACAGGGGTAGAAGTATCCCGTCTCGAATAGTTGTAATGCGGTCCCGTAAGTTTATTCAGTATCAAACAAATGTTGACATGCATAGCATTACGAACATCTTCATTGATCACATCGTTAAATTCATTAAATTCAGTCTTTCAAATTTTGATTGTTGGTCAAAGTGAAACCGCTTTACTTCATCAAAGTATCCTTCCAGAGCGATACTTTTGTCGGTAGATTGCCATATGTTTCTGTAGCTGATGTCGAGCTAGTGGCATCCGGAGAATATGTAATAGGTGACAGAATACATGACAACGCCTCTTCCAAACTGAAACTAAAAATAAGACGCGTGTAGTCGAGTAAATATTATGGAGATAACGAGAAAATTTGCATATTGTGCTCATCATTCACATGGCAACTTTGTGACCCTTTTCGGCGGTGTGTCGGTCCAGTAGTCTCCGATATCATTTGTCACCCATCGGTATCTTGCAAAGTTTGATTCTGAATAATGTCGTCGCGATCGACTGAGATTTCTACCTTCCATAGTTTGAGTTTATCGACATCGATACCAACAAGATCATTTTGTTTCTTCACTTTTTGTGGTGGCCAACTAGCTTGTTTTTGTCAGGGAAAGCATACGCGGGTAAGTTTCCCTTTACTAAATATACAAGAATTATAGAAATATGCTTTTTTGGACGAATATTATTGGCACAAGTGTAGTGAGGAGTGTAAAAAAAATTCTGATAGAAGTTACACGGAATGATACTCCGAAAAATTCTTCGCTAATTAAGGGTTAATTATAAGATCAGAGTTATGGTTAGAGCGGAGATCAAGATTGGGTGTCGACTATGTCCCGAGGAGCACAATCCCGACATCCCATATGCCCGACAAACGAAATCCCGAAAATCCACATCTCAAAACACCAATATCCCGAAAATCCAACATCCCGAAAAGTTACTATCCCGAAAACTCAACTTCCCGAAAAGATAACTTCCCGAACATCCAACATCCCGAAAAGATAACATCCCGAATGCTCAACATCCCGAACACTAACATCCCGATGGTTCAAAATCCAGAAATGTTAAAAAATGACAATTCAAATTCCAACACATTAAAGCATGAAATTGCATATACTATTTAGATTACACTATATTGATTGTCATAAAGTTTTGCAAATAAGAAAAAATTGGCTCCCGAACTGGAAATACTATATTTTAACACTAATTTTGATTTTAAGATTGAGATTAGTGTTAGTGTTAAAGTGGAGTAGTTTATATAGAAAATTACCTGCCCGAAGTTTTTATTAGTGAACCAAGCCTAAATTCGAGCATTAGATCCTCGTATTTTCACACTTTCATTTTCTTGTTTTTCTGGCTAATTGTTTGTGCATTCCATTGGTTGGTGATCAAGCATGCAAATTGTCAAGTGCACCATTTTTTCTTGATATAAGGGTAACCGATTACCGATTATTAACTATTGCTATTTACATATTTAAAAATAATGATGTATTTCTTGTAAACATTGATTAATTAACATGGGGATAACGATAATTTTAACGGCACGCGTAACATTAACACAAAAGTCGATCAGTGACCAATAAATTTTAAATGTGATTTTGAACCGAGAGTTTGAAGTGTCGGGGTTTTGAATTTTAAACTATCGGGGTTTTAGTGTTCGGATATTGAACATTCGGTATGTTGGACTTTCGGGATTTCGTTTGTCGGGCATATGGGATGTCGGCATTGTGGCTTTCGGGATATCGCATCAGGTCCAGTGGCTCTCAAATTTATGAAATTACGAAGTTTTATAAAAAAAATTCTAATATTTTAGCATACATCCAGTATTTTATTTGGTTTAAAACCAATAATCTAGAGAATTTCTAAAAAAATATTATTACATGTAGTCTATGTGGGTGTATATGGAAAAAATAAATTATATAACCATAATAGTGTATCGGTAGATTGTAAACAGATTTTTTGACAGACACCAAAGAATAGGAACGCTCATATTTATGGTCTAGGGGCCGAACAGTTTTTCCCTTGCAATGTCTTCATATTTTGATGCGTAATGCCCAGTTCGAATCTTTGAATTGTATTTTTAAAATAAAATTTTAACCCGCAATGATGTAATATGCAGAACGTTTGACAGGTTTGTGCGACAATCCATTTCTTATACACGTATATACACACCCCTCGAACTGTGCAACTTGTACAACTCATTCACAATATAATGTCTGAAAATACCCAAAATACCGAAAAACTTTTTGCATAAATTTCTCGCCTTGCTTTCACAGAAGAAGAGAAAGGTTCCATATTCTCATACTTCATTGATCAGCCTAAGGTATCCATTACTTTGACAGGATTATCTCACCTCAAGGACGAAGGGAAGGTTTCCTTATTCAAAAGTGTCTGACGTCTGGTATGTTCCCTCACATATAGCCATTATTTCGTTCTCGTCTGCGCTGTGTCATATTTGCTAATAATATCGAATACTTAATCTTGTGCTTTTCTTTCCTGCTTATCGTCAAACACCGCCCAAAAAAACACATTCACGTTATCGTAGAACCACCCGTTGTCACCGGTGAGTGAGTCATTAATAAATTTAGTCAACGTAATGTAGTGAACTTATTAATAATATCGAATACTAATCTTGTATCACTTATCTATATTATTTTCTCGTAATTCCAGGAATTCAAAAAGGTAAGTTTCGTTTTTTCTTACCACTGTTCTTATTGTAACATTCCTACGATATTTCATTATTTTTAGATATATGTAACTGCTGAGATACTAACAAATTAACTCAAAGTCCTGGTCAGCTTCCTGCGATGAGTGATCTTAATGGTTTCCTTAACAAAAATCCTAATATGCAAATACCGCTTACTCCTGCCCATTTTTCCAAAATCAATACTTGCGGTCTGGAAGGCTTATCTGAAAATGAACGAAATATATATTTTATGCAAAGTACAACAGAAGAATGTACAGAACTCTATTTAAGATTATTATCACAGATAATTTATCTTCCTTCATATGGAAAAAGTGAAAAACCTTATCATGATTTTTGGATGTTATTATTAAAAATTCGCTAAAAAATGTTTGGAAATTGTAAGTATGGTTTGTAATCAATGAGATTTGATCGCAATATTAACAAAAGAACTTCAACAGGTAAAGTTAACAATTACCAATTGATGTATAGGAATATACAATTTATTAACAAAGAATTTACAGGTCGCAATCGCCCAGACATGTTTATATTGGTGAAAAATGTTTGTCCTTTTTGTGGTCGGCAGATTCTACTGAGGACCCTTCACAAGAATTAACTAAGAAATTCAAAGAATGGACCTACGGAGGTTCTCCGTACCTCTTTGGTTATTATGCTACTGGTAAATTGGTCACTTTTGTCTGAGTCCGTCGAAGATGGGTCAAGTAAAAAAGAGAAAACATACAGAAGTTACGTCTGAAACGATAGGTGATTTTGATTTAGGAAACTTTTCACATAGAATCCGAGTTATGAATCTCCTTCGGAATATTTGTAAGTGTTTTTTGAACTTTAAATTATTTCGACGAAATGCTAATTCCATTATTGTTATTTAAGTCGTTTACTGTTTATAGTAAAATTATGCCCCCCCCCCCGGAGAGAGGTGCCAGATTTTATTACAATATATCGACCAAATGGAACTGTTACTGAACTCGGATATAGCGTTAAGAAAATATTTAAAGAAGTCTCGGTTAAGCATTTAGTAGAAATTTATAAAACGCTACGTGTAAGTTTGAAATTTTTTCACCTTTTCTTTTTAATTAAGGTGCATTCTAACAATTTATATAGGAGAATAAAGTTAGATACAATGACAAATTGGAACATTCCACTTCGCATTGTGTTTATTTGGCACCATGTGAATTGCAACGAACACCAACCAATCTCAAAGAATTATTGCAAGCGTTAATTTGTATACTGACGTGTCTAAAGGTAGAGTTTGGTGTAGATGTTTTATTAATTATTATTGTATACACAAATATACATTTTATAGGAGATGCATGGAATTAAACCCAATCCACTTATGCACAGAGATGTTCGATGGCCAAACATTGTTCGCTATAAGGATGAATATAAAAAATTCATTTTAATTGACTTTGATTACGCAACATTTGGCAAGGGAAAAAAAGGCATCGCAAAAAAACTTTAAAAGAAGTTTCAGAAACCGGTCATGCTCCTGAGATGCAAATTGGAAAACATGATGTGAAGGTTGACATGGGGTGTTGGATATTTAATTAATTCATGTGGAATAAATAATATTCATTCAGAACTTAAAAGTTTTACAAAAGAGGTTGTGTGATGATGCTCCAAAAAGACGACCAAATGCTTCAGATGCACATGATGAGGCAATAAAGATATTTAAGAAGGTGATTGTTTATAATAAGTTTTAAAATTTCAGGCGTTTCCGAATGATAAATGGCTGGAAAAAGTTGAAACTGACAATGTTAGATTAGCTTGAATTTATATGCATTGAAAATAAAATCATGAAGGGAGAAAATAATAGTAGTAGCCTGCATTATATCTACTATACACAGAATTTTTTAATTAGTAAATGTTTAATTTTTTCCCAAGACGAATTATGGAAAGATTCCATTGTTTTTCTTTATAAAATCTATTTACATATCAATTTTTAGCTAAATTGGCACGCTGGTGATTGAGCTACGAGCCTCAAAATTTCAAAATTACACATGTGTAAAAAATAGTGAATTGAAATTTCAACATTCAGAAACTCATATCTTGACTTGACCACAACAACGTGCCAAATTGCATATTTTATGTGTTAGGAAAAAAATATCCAGTGTTAAACATTTACTCTTTAAAATTATGTGTATATCCTAAAAATGGCAAAATTTTCTAGGTTAATAGCTTTAAACTGATATTATAAAGACCATAAATATTGGATGTATGCTGAAACACTAAAATTTTTCTCATAAAAATTTTCGTGTTTCCATAATTTGAGTATAAGCTTGGTGGTCTATCTCATGGTAATAAAGCAGCATCAACTGATAACTTAAAACAAGAAAATGTGCTAACGCTAATAAGAATCTCTTACTGCTGAAATTATACGTATCGGTATAGATTCTTAAATAATCGGCAAATTAAATATCGATATCATTCAAACAAAACGATCAATTACCCATACTAATCGGATGTTTCATTTAGTGATAACCGGTGATTGTTGTGCGTGAGATAAGATAACGACGTTACATTTGTGCGGGGTGCATGATTTTCTCGGAAACAGAAAGAGAAGGTTAATGCAAAGCACATGTATAGAATTTCGACTGTTTTTCTTTGGAAATTATTCTCCCTTTAAAGAAAATGGATTCCAAAAAATCGATGTAATTGAAAACTTGCCAATTTGTCAAAAGTTGATCATTTTAGTAAACTTTAAGAGAATTGGAAATTTTAATCAAACATTAAGTAAACGTGTTAGTAGTAGTTTATCACACATATTCAACCTTTAGTAATTCTTGACCCTTTTATCGGTGTTTTGGAATATTAATCAGCACAGAGAAAATTCATTATACTATGGAAAGAAATTCGTGAGTCTAGTTCAGAGATTAATGTAATATGACCCTAAAAAACTCATACATGCGAACAATTAATCAATCGATCGAAATTTTGTTACTTTGCAGATTCTAGAAAAAGAAATAAAGCTGCCAAAGACTGAAAATTCCTGCATTCAAAGAGCTCTTTTCTCTTAATGCATCTATAATAAAATAATCAACTAAATATTAATTAAACATCACGGGAGAAACGTGAAAATAACACAATTATAACTACAGGTGTGTTTGCTCATAGCTCATAAAAAAATAAGTTTAACTATGTATAAAATCCAATGAGAAATTGAATAAAAGAACGTGAATCAATTCTTTCATTAACTTTAATTTCCGAATATAGTCGCCCCATATCCCTCGGGACCCGGCGATGATGCAACTATATAGGAAAGCGTGCTTATATAGAGGCTTTTTATTAAATGGTCACATATTTAGTAGCTTAGGAACAGTCTGACTTTAAGAACAAGTGATTATATTGGGGAGGACGACTGTAGATGTTTTCTTCATTCTTATTCTTTGTCAAAAAAATGTTCGAAAACTTCTCACGAAATAATAATTTCATTAATAACTGTGGGCGATCATGATGAAAAATGGATTATGGTGAAAATTTTGGCCCCACAATAACTGCTAAATAAGAGAATCTCAGAAGATTTGATCCAGTTATTGTTTTTCCATATCTATTTTATTCAATATCGTTATGTTCAAAAAGAAATAAAAAAAAATAAACCGCATGCTCACATCCTCCACCTGCGATTTTCTCCTTTTTTGACCATTTGTATAATTCACCGCACGCAATTTTCTACAATTCACGATCCCATCATCACCAAAACTATATTATCAATGCACGCGATTGCGAATTCTTCTTGAAAAGCACTAGTGTGTATTTTTTATCTGCCACGCTAAATTATAAAAACTCGACAGATTATAAGAAGTCGCAATGTTCTTTTCTCTTTCGCTGTTCTTTAATAACCAATTATTTTCATTGTTTCGTCTCGTCCTCTCTCTCCTCTCTCTCGCTCTCTCTGATATACGCAGAGTAGACTAACGAATTCCCGTATTTGACCAAATAACAATAGCTACTATACAAACCTCAATCTACCAAAATGCCAGATAGAGAATCATCAATTTACATTCACGATTATGTTAGACCCGAAAAATCAGAAATTGATTTAAGACGCGAAACGATAGTGTCCACACGAACTAACAACACATCATCACCACCACGTCACCGTTATACTCCACCAAAAATAGGAAACCCAACTCCATTGGGTCTTTCCGCATTTGCATTGTCAGTGATGGTGTTATCTTTTTATGATTGTCATGCATTTGGTATTCATATCCCTAATGCTGCTGTTGGTGTCTCGTTATTCACTGGTGGCGTAGTTCAAGTAAGTTCTTTATCATCATCACTCTGTTTTTATTGACATACTGATATTTATAAAAAAAAATAGTTTGCCGCTGGTATGTGGGAATTCAAAGTTGGAAATACATTTGGCGGAACTGGTTTCAGCGCATTTGGCGGTTTCTGGGCTTCATTTGGTGTCTTATATCTTGACTCGTTTGGGATTAAACAATCATTTCAAGAAAGTGACGGCAATCTAGACGGTTATAATAATGCTTTGGGAATTTATGGAGCTGCGTGGACAATTTGTAAGAATTAATAAATTAACAATCGAATCGAATTATTGATAGTTGAGCAAAGAATTAACATTAGTCTTTTTTTGGTATTATAGTCACATTCATCTTCACGTTAGCATGTCTCCGCACAAACATGGGCGTATTGTCAGCATTCGTATTTTTGACTGGTGATTTCTTCTTTTACACGCTTTTTCAATTCACTCAAGTCGCCCTTTTTGGAATTATTTCTGGAATACTTGGACGTGAGTAGTTGTATTTTCATTTCATATTCTTTTTATTTATCAAATTCTTAATTTTAACAATGATTACTTTTTCAATAGTTATTTGCAGCTCAATAGTATGGTACTGCTTCGCGGCTGTACTTTTGACGCCAGATCTATCACCCATTAGTCTACCACTCTGGGATTTGAGTAGAAAACACAATTAAATAGATGATATATTTCATGAAGAACCACTTTATTTACAGCATATAATGGGATGTTTATGTTTTGCTCTGCAACCCCTGAACACTAATACATATAACTATCCGTTAGACGAAACAAAAAATATTTTTAGCTTGTAAAAATAGTGACTGCTACGATAAAACTGAAACCGGCCTTATTTACACGATAATTAATATTAATTTCTTTTCTGTTATGTTTTTATTCGCGTTTTTCTAAAGATATATTTATTTATATATTAATGTTAATGTTAAATAAATTCTTTCGAGAATTTTTACTACGTAATCAAATGGATAAAGAATCCGCTCTAATTTTTTGATTATCAAACCATTCATTCATTCATGCACACAACTACAAATTGTGGCACAATCAATATTGAAAAACGCATGCAATTTTCTTAATCGTTGTGCGGATGTGTCACAGAATCACGCAGTTTGTTATTTATGTTTTGGTTAACCCACCATCATAAAAGAAGTATATTTCCTAAAGATATAATACTATTGATGTAAACAACTGATCGTAGATTTATACTTGCATATCATTCGCTTATTGGTTTCAACCCAATTCATTGACCTCTCGAATTTTATCTAGACATGTGTAAATACCCAGATTTAGATGCTCCGATTTTTCGACGTGTACTTTATCTTAATTTTTACTTGTTTGCTTGTTATGTTAAGTTGTCTATTACTATCGCTATGGATTTATGGATTTTTGAATGCAAGGGGCAAATTGATAAATAATGTAATGCGGATTGCAAATCTGCGCGTGGTTTTCACACGATAGATGTTCATGTATTTATTTAATTATGTATAAAAATAAAGTTAAATAAAATGTCTCGCTTCAAATTGATTAATTAACTCAATTCAATTTTAATACAGTTAGGGTTCGATTTACTGATGAATTGGCAAGGTATCGCTAAAAATACGATCTGGGAACAGAGTCGTTAGTCGTTAAATCGAGCCCCGCGCTTGAGTATGTATATATATTATTTAAGGGATCTTTAATAAACCCTACTTTATTAAAGCACCAATTACCATTTGACCAAAAGCTTGTGCATGAGGAACTAATAGCAAAAAGTTCTTGATCAGATTCTGATATATAGAGAATCTATTGATTCGATAAACGCGTCGTTTTTTATGCAATGACACGATAAAAGTTAGTTAAGATGTCATTCAATAAATGAATAGCGTCAACATGACCAATCAATTGAATATTACATAGACCATCTTTAAATATTTTCAATGTGACACTGTAAATCACTTGAAAATACAGGGGAAAAAGAAAGTCTACAATTCAACACTTTTAATATAAATAATATATATAAGGCTACGTAATCAGTAATATCAGTTTAGCGCCTTGCTCAAATTGACAAGCAGTAAGATTTACAAGCTAACATTTAAAATATTTGTTTATTTTAAAATTACAAGATCTATTATATATTGAGTTGACGTTTATTAAATACTATGAATAATACTTAGTTCACCCATAATAAATATTGAGTTCTTAAATGAATTCTAAATGCAGGTCTTGATTACGTTCTTGCAGAGTCCCAGACTTGATAGATCGGGAAACATCATCAAGACCGTGGTATCGATAGAGATGCTTTGGAATTATTCTTACTAAAGATGAATTCCGAAACTGATGAAACTAGTTTAGTTTAGGTTATGTCCCTCCAGGGTAGTTTAGGGATCCATCTTTAATTCTGACACCGATCGAGCTCAAAAACAAAATTCAGTCGAAACTATCGATTTTGTCATAGGCAAACTCGAATGTGTCAATGTAAATTGCCATCAGAAAACTGATCTAAAAAAATAAGCAAGGTGGTATATGAGTAATGCTCTTCTCCAAAAAAGCGGTAAAATTTTTGTCAATAAGTTGGATTTACAAATAATCGATGCTGTTTTAATTTCTAATACATGTTATAATCGGAGTAGACAGCATTTTTTTTTACTGAAAACAATGAATCGCTGACTCACAAGTAGTTACGTATTCTAAAACCAATATTTTCATTGCACTTTTTATATTTATACTATGAGAATAACTACGAATAAATGTCCACGTCCTCGTTTATAGAATGCGATATCAGAAGACAAAAAATTGCTTTTATACTACCAGATCAATCGAATTAGTTAATTAAATTTATTTATCGTTATTTTATTAATTCAATTTGTATTTATTTTATTCATTTCTTCATAAATGTATAATATATGCGCTGATTAATAAGTGTAATGAAAATGATGCAAGTAAAAAGGTAGGAATTTTGATGTGTGAGAATGTGAATGTGTATGTAAAATTGTTAAAGTGTATTTTGTTGAAAGGGGAAAAATAATAATAATGAATAATATTCTATGTAGGGATTAAAGTTAAATAAAAAATTAGTTAAAGAAAATGTGTGCGTGTGTTAAAGAAATGCGTGTTAAAGAAAATGTGTTATAAATGCTAAAAAAATAAAATATCAACGCAATAAATTTATATCTCTATTGTACGTTTATATATGTATAAATTATATATAATATTAACATAAAAAGTGCGTCTATATATTTAGGAATTGTATGAATCAATGGAAAATATACAAAAGAAGAAATGATAATAACAACTAATACTAAATACCACCAATAAGTATGCTGTAATTTTGGATTAATAATATATTTTATGTTTATATGATCAACAATAAATATTAAGAACTGTTGCTAGAATCCGACGAATCATCAACATCAACCCAATTCTCATTCGCCAAATTATTCAACTCTCCCAAATCTTCTTTCAATTCATCGTCAGCATCCGGTGGCACCATAATCATTATTCGAATTTTTTTATGGTCGGTGACGAATTTTCTTAAGAAGCCATGGAAAGCTTGACTAATTTCTTCGATATCTTTAAAGTCGAGAATTATTTTCGATGATCGTTCGGCGGCAATGTCTAAATCGTGCATTATTTCTTCACAGAGTTCGCGTGTTCGTAGTGAACGTTGTCCGTAGACATTTAAGCTGATTTGACAGACGAGGAACCGGTCCTTAATAATTGTTGATGGTTCGGCGAATAGTTTCATAGCGCGACGATAGTTGAATTCTTGATCGAGGTTGATTGCACCGTGTACCATTGTCCCTTCCCATTCGGCTATTCCACGTACACTTGTGACAGTTGTGTCTATTATAATAAATATAATCATGTTGAGTCTATTATTGGATGTTAAAGAATAGTAGCGATTGCAATATAGATATATACCTCGTTGTTCATATTCTTGTACACCAGATAAAATTTCGAGATATCCTTTATTCATTGTTGCTAATTCACTAGTAATGAATAGACCTACACCTTGATGACCGCGTTCGATACCTTTTGAAGTGACTTGTGCACGAGTTAAATGTAAAGCGCAAGCACGAGAAGCGACATCTTTTGCATCGGGAACGATTGCTTCTTTTAGTGAACCATGTAGACCGACGCCATTATCAGCTACACAGTAATATAACTGAAAAAATAATGAACAAAGTTTAAAATCATGTACAACGATAACAAATATGTATTGTGTATAAAGTTAACGCAAACAGTGATGATAGAGTCACACAATAAACAATTACCTTTTTTGTTGAAAAGAGTAAACCGACAGTAAAGCAGAATTTATCTGCTGGCAATTGAGCATGCGCTGGAACATTCTCCACAAGTTCGTTTAACATGAGATGAAACTTGTTTGGTAAATCTTTTCTCCAGTTCTTAATATTTTCATACCAATCATCTCGTTCATCATGATTATTTTTTCGAAAGACCGTCAGTCGACAATCTTTACTCGTGAGTTCAAGTGCTATCGAACTCTCATGATTTGCAAATAAAATTTCGCGAATAGATTTGTTTGGGAAGGTGAAGGGAAGTTTCACTTGTGAGAAGTCCAGAAGCACGTCGTGCACCTTTTCTGATTGTACAATGTGACAGGCGTATTGGATGAGACTTGATACTGCAGCGATTTCGACTCTTGTTTTTGGTGCGAGCGATACTTTGATGTTTAGAGTTTCTTCAGGCTTGACGTTTTGTGAAAATTGTTTGACTGCTTTGACTGCTTCCACTGCTTGGCCTATCGACTTCAGCTGAACTTCAAGCGCATTATTTGTAGGTGCCATGCTTGTACGCGAGTTTTTCACCTTTTGTATTAATAATATAACAATAATTAAAATCTCTGTATTTATGAAGATGGTTTTTTGATATTATTTTTTTTTGTTTGCGAAGCATAAGAATTTTTTTAAAAAAAAGAAACGAGGCGGTTATAAGCGTTTTTTTGTCGAGTAGTTTTTGTTGCTTTATGAATAATATCTATGGGAGGGATGTATTTGTTTAATGATGATATAAAATAACTATAATTATTATTATATAAAATAACTATAATTATTTATTATATAAAATATACATATTAAAATATAAAATGTATATCAGCTCATGAATAATCCCTTGTTTTTATTGTTATTTTTAGGGTGAGTACAATCGTATATAATAATGTGCGCGGTTTGTGTGCAACCGACATACCTTTTACATGTACACAATAAAAGACAATTATATTTGGGCATTATTTTTATAAAACGAACCAACGATCGACCGATTGGACTTACTTCTCGATAGATGAATCCGGATTTGTATCCAGAATTAAAAAAAAGGCGGTCTGGGCGGCGTAGTACCAAAAAATTAGAGTATATATCGAGAATAACCATACACAAGCAACAATAGCTATGATTATATGGTCGATAAATGCCACTATTGAACCCTTTTTCTATGATACATTGTTTTGCATGTTCACGCACAATACACCGAGTTTAAATGGCGGCAAACAAACAGATTGCCATTCATTATAGTTGTATCATTATCATCGTAGTCAGAAACAGTTTTTGTCTTCGTCGCCATCAAAATCACAACCGTTATCGTCTATCTCGCCATTTTGATTATGTTCTTACTTGAGACTTTCGACGTTCTTCTTACCGGCTTCTCCTTCCTCTTGACTTCTCCTGTATCGTGTTATGTTTCATCATTTACGCAGTAGTAGCAACAGCATCATTTTTACACACGCATCCTAAAATATGTAACAAGACGCTATCGCTATTGTATTACGAACTTGCGTTCAATATAGAATCAATCCTAATCGAGAATAATGCTAGGAAATGTTGGTCATGTAATCATTTATTTTATTCGTCCATGTTTTGATGCCCTTTCTTACATATCCATTATTCAATACTAAAAAAACAACGACGATGATGACACCTGATAAGTTGTATTGTAAAGTAAAATAGTATAAATGTCATTGATAAAAACTTTAATATATACATGTATAATGAATTTTGGCTTATCAACAAATCATTCCTTTGATCGACCAAACTTTCAAATGACAATCATCTGAAAATGTCTGAGTTTATTACTTATCGTAATCAGTGCTATCGACTGCTTACACAACAACAAAGAGATGTTATGTTCGTGTGCAAGTATGCACTGTGGTGTGTTGATTGGGTTATTAGTAAATAAAGAAATAAGGTTTTTGCAAAATACGATTACGATGACGAAAACTATCGTGCACTTTTCGTGGTCATTTTTTCGCATTTCATTTTTTTTACCCATATTTAATCATCGATCATTAATGTGGTCAACTAAAGATAGGTAAAAAAAATTTGATTATCTCGTTATTTATCTCTTTTCCCTTTCAGGTAATTCGTGCAGCGTTTTTTTTGCTTTTATCATTTTCACGCATACACGCATTCACTTACCGATATCTACACATGGACATACTTCTTTATCTCTTGCATGCTTCTTTACCTAAGGAATAATCTAGAACGAGTGGCACACTAAACGACAACACATAGACAAACAACTACGTACGTAACTGTTTACGTATAAGAATAAGGAGAAAAGGACGAAAACAGAATATTTTAAGAATAATGATACTAATGTGAATTTGGTTATATACATGTACATGTATTATGCCAGCATGTATCGCCTCATTTTATTCCCAGCATTATCGTTATTTTCATATGTAGCATTCGTTCATAGTCTGTTTGACGATCTCTATTTAAATTTGCTTAAAACAAAACCTGCCTGTAAGCAGATAAACACTTGTCTTAAAAGAATAATGCAGCAACAAGAGAGAGATAGACTATAGATGGTTAATTGAAACAAGCATCTGACGACTTTATGCAATTGACTAGTAGCAGTGCCATAGGTACTTATAAACCTGTACACGGGCAACTACTCAACTAGCATTGATATGGTATCGGTATCGGTTCTTGTATTTTACTCCATACTCTTTGAAATATACTTCATACTCGAAATATAATACCCCACAAATGTCAGTGCAATATCGTGTTCAACCTTTAATTGCTTTGGTGTATGAAAAAAAAGAACGAAGAGGTAAGTAAAGAATAAAAAAAAACTGCCGCATTTTTTTGCGAGGGGATTTTTAAAAATTATTCATAAAGCTGGATGAATTAGCATTGTTCTGCTTGATGATGTGATAATTGAAACAATCATGCATACATACATAAAAATCAATAAATATTATGCTATTGTCAATGAATAAATCGATCATTGTCTCGTGTATTTCAGTATATCGAGATATTGTCATTGGTGTAGCATCATTACAATGAATTATTATTCTCTTTTTGAAAATTGTGATTACTATTATTCCATAGTTTAAAAGGTGATATTGTGAAAAAAGACGTCATGGTAATCAAGTAGAAAAATTCTAGTTGAAATAAAGATTTCCTTAAAAGCATTATTTTTTTCCAATTCGCCATGCATAATGTCGACATACTTTTACAATGGACAATCACTTATACTAAAGTTGGTCGGTCTAGTAATTTTAACGCGTGGTTGATTGATTTGTTATTCTCGTCGTGGGGTGTTTTCTATTTTAATTCATTTAGAATATAAACTCACTTATTCAAGATTTATTTTCCCGCGCATCTTAATCTATGAATTAATCAACCACATTGAAAAAAATGAATTAAAATTAAAATAACGTATTTTTAATATCACATTTTGTTTCGTGAGATGGATCTCTATATAACGCAGATACAGCGGGCAGTGTTGTCGCTTGGATGTAAATCCAGCTATTTGATTGGTCGGGACGCTTGTCCCAGCCAATCAAATTGCTAGATTTACGTCCAAGCGACAACACTGACAGAGGGTGTGCATATTAATTCGATCACTTTTGTTTATATCGTTATATTTCTAGCGATCCAAAATCACAATTTTTGCTTTTTCAAAAAGGTTAATCACCATGTGTCAGTTATGATATTTACGATGGATCTCTCTCTCCTGGAAAATGTGAAGGGGGGCATACTCTATGGTAATAAGTGCTCATCTCCATCATCCAATCTTGCAGAACTCAAACGGTATGTGAAGAAATCCTGAAAGTATGCCTGATGTATTATAACAATTGGAGACATAATTAAGTATTAGTCACTTAAGAAATTTTGTATGTTAATAGCGGGAGAAAATAAAGTTTATAATACTAATATCAGGTTTTTGTGCTTGGTTTTTATTTAATATGTACACCCTCTGTAGTTGTGCACCATTTCGAAATTCCGTGATTTTTTATAATACAACCAAGTATCTCTATTAGCTCAGAATTTGCTGTTCGAGATATTTCTTTATGTTCTCGGATGCACTGTGTGCATTTAAACGAAATAAAAAATCACACGAGTGTAATGGATATAAAAACAGCTCAGATTCAATAAAATTGTAAGGATTCACCGTATGGATTCTTGTTACAAACTGAAATTAGTGTACGATAATTTTTTTAAAAATGGCTGACATAATATGTATTGCACACGTACACAATATTATTTTATGATAAATCGAATTCACCTTTTATCGATGTTTTAGTTCGGATCACACGTTAAAGGTAATATTTAATTTCAACATCAATAGTATTGGTAAATGCAGTTAATTTCAACAAAATCAGCAGTTGACGCTTTTCAGTTAGTGATGCGGGCTGGGCTGGGCTGGGCGGGCCGAGCGGGCTGGTCGAATATTTATTTAAGGCTGATTGATCCAGATAGTAATTGAATGAACCAATCATATGTGTGAAATATGATAAAAATTCACGTGAAATGTGATCCATATTCACGTGATAATTGTGGTCAGCGGTGAACTCTTGAATCTCGAACTTAAACCGTACAATCATATAGTACGAAATCTTTACGCCCCTGTTAGTGGGTCGGGCGGTTCAAGGCTAGGGATGGCAGTTCATTAATTAAACTGTTCGAACCGGTTTGATTCAGTTCGGTTCAGTTAAAATATACATACATTCAGATCTCGATTTAACGATGGGTCGGGGATATATAATAAAAAATTGAAAATGTCGCTATTTCAAAAAATTCTTTAAGTTGAGCTTGATTTTAATATGCACTCTTATGGAAAGGATTTAAGCGTGATGTAGTTAAAGTAAGGTATTAATTAGTGATCGTTAAATTTCATAGTCGTTAAATCGAGGTCTAACTGTATTTGAACTGAATCGAACTGAACTGACCTATCCCTAATCGAGGCGGGCTGATAATTTTGCCAACGGGTGGGCGGGCCGAGGATTTTTGCTCGATTTGCATCACTATTTTCAGCACAAAGTTTTAATTTGCAGTACTGCTATTTCCAGATCTATGTACCAATCGAAAGCCAGGTTCATATTTTCTATAAGAAATTTCTGTAAAAATACGAAATATACAAAAATATGCGTAAAAGACATATAAACATGTAAATCACATATGTGAAAAGTTGGCTTCTTATATTTTATACTCAATTTACGTGTTTATGTGTCTGTAAAAAACATGTAAAAAGTACCTTTTACGCATCTCTTGCAGCTATATCAGACTTTCCGTATATTTCATATTTTTACAGACATACACTTACCTCCAATAAGTATTTAAAATATATTTTGTAGGTGTAATTAAAATATTCATTCTTTTTAACCACTTCACTCGGCACTTTTCCTGTTGTTGAATGCTTTTATATTTTTGAAAATACTTATTGGAGTGAAGTGTATATTGTAATTTACATGCAAATGCTGCATATCTAGTGATACAAGCAAACCCCAGCCCAAATGGTCGGGCTGGAGGCGGGATAAGGGTTGACCCGTACTTTTTTGATCAACTAGGTTGACATGGTTAGGATTTGTAAAAGCAAATAATGCTACACATATACCGTATTCCTTCGATAATCAGCACTCAAAGTGAAAAAAATTCCATGCTTTTTATAAAAAATTGAATGAATTAAATCTTATTAAAAGTTTTATAGATGGGGTGAGTCAATAGAAACCAATCAAATATATATGTATTACACATATAATTTGCTTGGTTTCTATTGGCTCACCCACATCTATAAAACTTTTAATTAAATTAAAACTATCAATAAAATCATTGAAATATACATTTGAGATGACTTTGAGATTTGGTCAGTAAGTATAACCCTTCCTGACAATAAACACCTCTATTCCAGAAAATAAGCACATCTCTGATTTTTTATCTTAGATCCTTTCATAATTTAGGAATACGGTAATCAACTCTCAAAATTTGAGCAATGCACATTGTTTTTGTTTACACTGGAATAAATCATGTATTTTTTGTAGTTTAAAATGTCTCCAAAATTGCGACTCTTTTTTCTGTTCAAGTTGCAACAATAATAATAAAGTTTAAATAACATATTTTGTCACAATTTCGTAGCTTTCTTGGCAGTTGGCCCGCCAAATCATTGCCCTCAGCCTCGGCCTGAGATTTTACCATCAGCTAAGCATGTCAATTTATTTTATTTGCATAGGGCAATTGTGTGAACATTTTTTTTCTTTTCTATATATAATATGCGTGTGCTACGTTGAAGAAAAATTTCTTTTTCGCAGCAGTTCGCAGAGGTTATCTGAATTCGATTATTACAGAAAATCAAAACCTGTGTCAATGATTTCGCATAAAGCTGCTTGAAAAACCGGGCAGGGGTAAAAAACAAACATGAAAATAAATACTGTAATTTTATTGGTTAAAGATTAATTGATAAGATAATATTGATAAGGTTTTATCGCTACAAATGACAAGTTTATAAAGTTATACTGATAAATAATCTATATTTTATGTAATCACGCTTTCTCTGATTATAATTAATTAGTTCCCGTTTATGCTATGTTTTCCAAGAAGCAGACATTTCTTCTGAAGTTCGGATTCGTTACAATAATAACAAACATCATATGATTTACGAAAAGCTGGTCAAATAATAACAGGCTTGGTGTTATACTTTCTCGAAGAACTGTTATAAATGGAAATATCATTGTAAGTTTGGAAACTCAATTTAAAGTTGGTCTTGATTGTTTGTAACTTTTTTTTTAAAAGAAAAACCTTCTTAAACCACGAGAAAAATCGTATAAAAATCACCATCCTGTCTTAAAATGCTGTACTAGAATGCTAACTTTCAATTGGATAAACATTTCTACGTGATATTTAATGCTGTTTGTTTAATGTCGGGGGAGGGGGACGTTAAACAATCAACCAATTTCAAACAGCCTAATATAAAGAAAAAAAAATTAATTCATTAAAATTTAAATTTATACGACTAACTGATCCAAAATTCTAACAAGTTGATTCTTAATGCAAATTTCATATAGATAAATATACAAATTCGTTGTTTTATGAATTTTCTAGTAATGGGCAACTTGAATTATGTCGATCTTAAACAATTAAAAAACCGGTAAATTTAATGCTATCAAACTAAAATGCTCAATTTGAAACACTTCGTTCATAACAATAAAAAAATACATGAAAAAGATGAAGAGAAAAATAAAATTATCGGTATTTGTAATATATTATATAGATATCAAACTAAAAGGCGATTTAACAAGAAGAATGTATATGAGAAAATAGAACAGAAAATTTAATAACCAACGATATGATAAAGAAAAGTGTTGAAATTTGTACAGGATAGGCTTCAAACACTGTAGTATACTTAAAGTGTTATTTTGATTTTGTGTAGTGGCCGCTTGATTATTAAGAGTGTCATTGGTTCTATTTATAAAGCTTTGTGCTATATTTAGATGTGTCGATAGGGGTAGTTGTTGAGGTAGTTGCTGTTGGTATTGTGATTTATTTTGTTGATTCATGATTTCTAATAAAAATAATTATACCTATTAAAATTATATTACAGAAAGTAAATTGAATTTACAATTCGCAGAAATTATAGCAAACAAGTAAGTAGAGGTCTTGAAGAAGACTGGAGCTTATACGTTCTCGTTATCATGGATAAAATATGTAAGATATATTCGTTCTGTTCATTCATTTGTCAATTATGCGGATACTAGTGAGCCCGAAATTTGCTATAGATAACCAAACTTCCATTATGACATCTGTTATTTATAGTGCATACATTTTTTTTAAATTTAACAAGGTCAGTGTGCCAATTTTTTCTTAAGTAGTTTCGATATTAACAAATTATTGTTATTCATAATAAATAATAAATGTTACCTATTTTAATCATGAATTTTTAACCAAGTGTATGCGAATGTACTGTGTGTGATAATTTTTCTTGGCAATGTTACGAAAAATACACACGTGATTTTTTCACACCTCTCATATAAAAATAGCAATTGCTTCTTCGGTAAACTCTGATAAAACGGAAATTTAAAAAAATACAAGATATAATGCAAAATGGAAGATAATGATTTCACAATTGCAGAAAAAACTTAGCTCAATTACACAAAAAAGCAATCCGAGAGAGATTTTGTGCTAGTAGTGAAGCATGAGAAGAGTCGAAAAGCTTAAAATTAATTGTCAAGTAACTGATAAAACAGCAAGTAGATGGTATATAATGAAGTAATAGAGTACCTACCGGATATCACAATGGTTAATTTGCGAAAAGCCAGAAAGATTTATAGGCTGTTTAGGAGAATAGGCATAGATGGATCAAATCATAATTTAAATTAACCGATACTCAAATTCTAAATATTATAGTTCATTTCTCAAAAAGTCTATTCAAAAGACTGCCACGGCAATGGACTAAGTATGGCATGAACCAAGTTCACAGTCTCATATAACTGAATTTCAGAAGGAATCTAGATAGCAATATAGAGGTCCGACTGTATATTGTGATCTGATAATCAAGTCAAGAGCGCGTCTTGGTTAATGATACTTGACGATGACGAAACCTATCGTCACGACCATTTTGAAAATGTCTGTGACGAATGACGAAACCTTCTGATTAATAAAATACTAGTTGATGCCTAACATTTTTGGAAATGAACGAATGCGCAAAATGCATACGTACATGTATTTAAATGTATTGATTTTCACGAAACCTTTCGCCACTTTGGGAAATGTAAGTGGTGAATGACGAATGACAATTTTGGCAAACTACGTACGTAAACCATAAAAACAACAGGTCAAGTCAAGCTTTATCAATTTATCGGTTTATTTTAGATAATTTTACCAGAGGTATATATTTAAAATTATACACTTTTCTCAAGTTTTCATAATGTTAGCCAAAATTTTGATCGTTTATGGCCTTCAGCCAATCAAACACATGTACTAGATTTCTAATGACGTAACATTCTCTTAAAATTCGGAATAGGATTTGTACATGTGATTTAAGCTATTATTTTGATTGGTCAGAAGGTTTCGTCACTAGCTAGTTTCGTCAATCGTCAGGGGTTTGACGTGACGAAATGTTTCGTCAGGTATCATTTACAAGATCTCACGTCTTCGCAATTAATTCCTTAACTGTTAACAAAAGCTAAGTAAGCAGAAATGCTGAGAACGCAAGAGGTTCGTGAAGAGCAAGCCAACTTCTTGAGGAAACACCCAAACTCTTGTCTGATGAATTTCGTTATTGAGTTTAAATATCATCTAGCTTTTGCGATTATAATTTACAATTGGACAAAGTGTCACATGACTTTAATTCGGAGAAGTTGTTAAAAATATGATAATGACTATAAGGACAACGAACTGACGAAAATCAAACTAGCAACACCGATAAGAAGGAGAACGAGGAGAGTAGCAGCGACAATATCGACAAGGAGGATGTGGATAATTGCGAAAGTGAAGAAGTCATTCGAGATGATGAAGTGAGTAAATATGTAATATTCTTGCGTTTGTAACGTTATTGATCTTTTCCATCATGCAGGTAATAACAGATGTCTTAGGAAATACTCAGAGGCGATGAAAAAAATTTTTGGTCTATACGGAACAACATCCTGATGGTGATCTCATTGACCCACGTTCGTATTCGCCCTTCTTTAAAAAGCTTCCAAAATTAGTGGCAGAGTCTTACCTTTCAGAATTGGCTGAGATAACGGAGTCTACGAATGTGCATGATTTCTCGTACAATTTTTTTCACAAATATCATCGATACTAAGTGACAAAATATCTATGATCTAACGATCCTCTAATGACGGCAGTACAAATTCTACGTCATGGTAATGTACAATTGTATGCAGTGTTACTGAATTAGCATTAAATCTTCTAATTCCACAATTTTTACTCTTAGTTTCTACATGGAGATCTTCCCATAGTTATCACAATAGAATTTTCTAATTTCAAAAGTTTCCTTCATTGATCCCTACCGCTACAATAAAATCCTTTTTTTTTAGCTAATTTTATCTAATCCCAATTGAAACCCAAAAAAATAATAAATAATTACTGTTCTGATTCCTCCCTTCGTTCTTTAATATTATTATGTGATGATTTTAATTGTCTAAAAGATATGAATCATTCGAGAATAATGATTTTCTCGAAAACAATCAAAATGATCGGAAAAACGGTGAACGATACATGCTTCTTTGTTTTAGCAAAGCCCCCACTATTATCAAGAAACCCTTCTTCTTAATTATCGAAGCAATCGCAACACTATAAATGAATACTCGATAATAATGTATTATGCAAGGGATAGCGATCTTTGCAAGTACTGTTACCATAGCGATAGCTGCAGTGACATTAAATCCTTAATTCTGTATTTTTTTTTCTCATAACGATAATTTTCACATGAATATCTTTCCATAATTTTCCTTGATAATTCCTACATGAAAATCCTTCCAAGGTTAGTTTCTTGCGTGATTTGTATTGAAAGTTAAATTTAGAAATATTTCATTATGAATAAATACATTCATTACATTTTTCTTGTGTCATGAACATTCCCATTACGTATTAATGTATGTGATGATAGTACGTAGTTATCTAGATAATTGAAAATATCAAATGATTATTGCTTAATTACTTTTAGAAAGTTTCAAGAGAGACAAAATGTAAAACATTAACTTAGAATTAGCTTCGCAAAAGTATGTTTTAAATTAATAAAATAACAAAGTTCTTAATTGTAGTATTAATATTATTTGTAAATACACTATTATTTTTATTAAACTTCAATAAATGCTCCTCCACTTAAAATAAGCTGTTATTTTTCTTTGATTGAATTTGTTACCTTGATTTTTACCTTTACAGGCTGCGTTAATAAGTCCTGTTATGTTAATTTTCTTTGCAGGCTGTATTAATAAATCCTGATATCTTGTTTGTTTAGATAGACTATATCAATAAGATCTATTATAATATTCTTCTTGATAGATTATATCAATAAGTCCTACTATTGTAAGTTTAGAATTTTAGTTAGTAATTTAAAAATGATTTATTCTTATTATTTTAAAATTTCTCTTATCTACATTCAGTTAATTTGTATACAAATTACTATGAAAAGTCTTTAAAATAATCAAAGAGATTCTTTAACTATAAATAATTTGATCTAGCTTTCACTTCTTTTGTGAAAAATCTCTTGATCGATTGATTATTATAATAAATACAACAGTTTGATATCACTATCTATCACAAAATAAACTCTTTTAGCTAAATATCAATAATAATCATTATTATTGTATTGGTTTATTTTTTTTAAATATTTTTCTTTCAAGTAATATAAAGATATTTTTTTGTGGTTTATAATTCTCTTTTAAATTACTTTAATACTCTTATTTAAAGAATTAACTATTTGCACTAAATTTTTAACTTTATTCAGATTCTAAATAACATATCTTTTTATATGAATATGTAATTACTATATCAAAATTTGTTAATAATTTTAGCAAAATTAGAGTAATTAAATATTAATATAAAAATAAAAATGAGTTAATAAAAATCAAATAGATTATATATAATATATATACATATATATAATTTTCTTAGTTTCTATTAAATTATCAATTATTTTCACTAGATTATTGAACTTATAAAACTTTATAAGTTTAGTGATACAATTTTTATATAATATTTATTTGAGTATAAATATTATAAGTATTAATTATTAATATCTTTTATAGATTTGGTAAAAATTTTTTATTAAGTATTATATGCTCATAACTTTTATATTCCAAATATAATCAGTTATTTTATAATACATATTTCAATATTTAATTATTTAATTCTTGATATCTAATAATTTAATTTGAACAAAAATATTATTCTTTAATTTATCTAGTCGAATAACAATATTTTTATTCGAATCAAATTATTAAAATATTATATTTTAAAATATCTAATTTATTTTTTAATATCAATAAAAATTAATTAGTCAATTTAGAATAAAATATCTTGATTTTTAATGAGCTAATTCAAATAAAAATAATAGTATTTGATTTATTTTAACAAATAAATCAAATAGTATATATTATTTTGTTTAAATTGAATTATTTATGAATTTATCACTTTATAATATAATATTTTGATAATAATTAAATTTGAGTACAAATATTATTATTTAATTTATTTAAATTAAACAAATCAAATAACTCAAATTAAATTATTAAATATTAAAATAATTAATTTTAAAATAATTGATTTATTAATTTAAAGCATGGAATATTATATATTTTTAATTTCTAATAGTATTAAAATAATTTTATATTAAAAATAAATATAAGTTAACTAAAAGAATTAGAGCTTGATTTATATAATATTCTTATAATTAGAATTTATTCTTATTATGAGAATCTAATTTTAGACTTATATTATAGATTCTTAATTTAATATAATATTATTAATTAATTTAATTATATATAGATTATTTAATATATATTAATATATAGTCTGGAATATTTTAAATGTAGATAAAATAATTATTTCTTTTATAATTAAGCTAATTTTTTTAAACATAAACAAAAAAATTTAAATTAATATTTTTCTTATAATATTAATCTAAAAAAATTAAAAATATAAATAGTTTGCAATTAATTATATAACTAGAAAGCTTTTACTTTTTATTTATATATTATTAAATAACAAATTTTAGCTAAAAAAAATATAAATAAAAATTATTTTAAAATTTTAATTAACTTTTATTTATATTTTTTTAGTTAAAATTTGTCTTTTAACAATATATAAATAAATAATAAAAACTTTCTAATTATATAATTAATTGCAAAATTTTTGTATTTTTAACTTTTTTAGATAAATTATTTTAAGTATAAAAAGAAATAATAATTTATATTTATATTAAAAAGTATCACAAACTAATATATAAATAAATAATACTTCTTTTTTAATATTTAAATTTTTTATATTTATTAAATTATTTAATTATTAATTCAAAAAATAAAATCTAAATATTTATTAATTTGATTTTTTGTATTAGCTTTATTAATAATTAATCATTAATATTAATAATTATTAGATATTTTATTATAAATATAATTTATTATATATAAAAACAATTATATTCTTAATAATAATATAATTAATTATCTCTTAAACTATCTAATATACAAATTTATATGCTAAAATTTTTTTAGATCTATTTTTGTATGGTTACTTCAAATTTTTATAAGTCTTATCTTTCTCTTTTCTAAGTTAAAATGAAAATATATCATATAATAATTATCTTATAATCTTATAGTTATGATATTTTTATATAATTATAATATAATACTTATAATATTGATCTAAGATTATATATCTTTTGAATAATTTGATAATTATTTTTCTTTAATATGATAATTTTTTTAAAGTATCTCTTTTATAACTGAATTGAGTATACTAACTTCAAGTTTAACTTTTATTGAAGATGCAGAGTTATATATCAATAATAAATATTATTTTTAATATTTTATCAATACTGTTTAAATAATAAAGACTCTAATAATAATAATAACAATAATAATAATAATAATAATAATAATAATAATAATAATAATAATAATAATAATAATAATA